CCTGATCAAAAGACTTGGCATTTGGCTGCTATAGAAAATACTACACTGTAGCAGAAATTATTGTTATAGGTGCTCCATTTATTCCTAATGCCGGCAACCCTTTACCTTCCAGATAAACAAGAGCCCAACAATAATAGGGCTTCCTAATGCACATGTGGAAATTTAGGGCACATCCGGGGAACTGGCATGGTTTCAGGTACTTTCAGTGGGCTTTTGCACTGGAAATCGTTTATGCTTTTGTGATCATTCAGATGGTCGAGCTTCTGGACGCTGCAGCAAATATTGCCAAATACTCGATCTGTGGGGCTAATGTCAGCATCTGAGCCGTGCTTATTGCAGGAGTCATTATTCTAAGTATGCACGATTGCACAAGGCTCTTACAAAGTGATGGTGCTTAGTCTAGTTCCTATGTGGTCTAAGTATAAAATATATAAGCTTTCACCATTCATAGCTACAGCAAACAACATCGCTGCTTTTTTTTTTTCTTTTTATTCAGTCTGTCAATGGAGTTTATGAGCACCTACTACAGGTTAAGCAGGATCCTGATATGGAGCAATGAGGAAAGCAAAGCCCTCTCCCCTTAAGATGCCTACAATTTAGTGAAGACAAAAATAAGCAGACACATACATGCATATGAAGGCAGGCAGTAGCAAGCACTATGGAGAAAAATGAGACAGGCAAAGAGGACCAACGGCGCCTGGGCTGCTCTGGGAAGTCCTCACTTTTAACTCTGCCTTACACTGAGTTGCAGATGACAAGGCTTCTCCTCTTCATGGAAAATTATCTCCTGGAGCCTCAAGCTCTTTCTTTCCTATCAGGAGCGCCAAATGAACCAGCAAGTGTCAGCGTCATCGGAATAGAGCAGAAAACTAAAACCGTGAGGCTTTTTGCCCCTGGGATTCCAGCTCACAGCCCCCAGTGGAGCATCCACGTCAATCTGACAATTGTAGGAATTCAGGGGACACAGGCTGGCACTGGTCTTTTCTAGTTTTATTTTATTTGGTTGACTCATTAATGTATATAGTCAGTTACTTCATCCCAGAAAGTATTTTTGTATTGCTATAGTCTCCATGAGAAAAAAATTTAATTTGATATCAATCTAACAATAATTCTGGAAACTGAGCATGTGAAGCTAATACTGGTCTGTGCACAATTATGTGGCCATTTATGAAGACAAATGCCAGAGCATCTAATATAGGACACATCCTATGCCAGGTGCTGTGGAGAAACAGAGTCCCCAGTTATGGGCTTTGCCTTCCTGCAGCATGGAGCCCACCAGGAGAGGGAAGACCTGCTTAATGTTACCACGCCACATAGTGGGGCCGGCTAGGCTTAAGCCTTAAGAGAGGTACTGACACATCACAAAGGCAGGGATGGCTTCAAGCTATGGGGATCAGGGCTGTCTTCACAGTGGCTGTTGAGCTGAGATGGAATCTACCAACCCATTGCTATGTGGCTGCTCCAGCAGCAAGAATGACCCAGTCCCGGGCTGCGTAAG